ACCATGGTTGTATCCTTGTTTTTGTTTTTTTGAGGTCAGTAAATGCTTGTAAGTTAAAATGTTTTCCAAAAAGACCCCTCAAAAGAGCAAAGTTAGTAATAAAACTTATTTTATTGCTGCAGAAGCCCAGGGAAATATGAATCCTTTCTCTCAGGTGAAACCCCTTTAGATGTTTCTAGTAGTTTTAGTTCTGCAGAGGCTGTTCTACATGAATTAACTATCATAAGGGAAGACGGGCTAATCCACCCACAATTCCCTTTGTGGGTCCTTAAAGAATGAGACTTCTTGGAGAAAAACTGGCTTCTGGAGCAGGCTTCACCATCATGGCTGGCACCCCTACCATCTCCTGGGTCCCCAGACCTTCTTTAATCTAATCCTGAGAGATACCCTGATCAGAGAGGGCCAAAAAAAAGTACCCTGATGACATTGCCACTTCTACCAGCTTCAGCTGAATCCCAAACACCCTGGGCTGAAATAGGATCGGATTTTAACAATAGAAACAACAACAGCTCTCACCCATCTCAGTTAAGAGACTATCAGACAAGGGGGGTTTTCCTTCTAAAAACTCTCTCCAGTAAAGGGAACAAAAAATGTCAAAATGGAAACCGTATTTAATATTTACATTTCAAATGCTTTACCTGGTTTTCCTTCTTTTCTTTATCTTTAATACAAGGTTTAAAGGATTTTTAATGATGCGCTTGCCATGGCTTTAAGCAGGCTTGAGGTCTCTGTATACCAAACCCTGAATCTTGTTTAACACTGTTTAATGTTTGACAATGACTGGGTTATGTTAACACCTTTAGCCCATATATTCCATCTAGATTAATACAACTCACATATTGAAGATTAGTTCTGCATGTGAAGAAACTGCATGATATATAAACCCATTTCTCAAGATTATGTGTGCAACCACATGCAGACAACAATAGCTGCTCAGAATACTGTCTCATCTCCTACATACACTTTCCCTTAGAAAACTACTGAGGGGTCCCTACAAGCCAGCACAACAGTTAAGACATGATGTTATTTTTAAATTGTATGCTTTGCAGAATAGGGACAGTATCTTCCTCTGTGCTGGAAAAACACCTTGCACACTGATAGCAGCAGCCACATAATAAATAAATTAATAAAATAAATAATTTAATAATTTAATAAATAAAATAATTTGTGCATGTAAAGCTATTCATGTTCCTAAATGTTTTCAGTTTACAGGCCCTTCAGGTTATCAACAACCTTATCCCATCCTCTGTCTTTTTTTAACTATGCCATAATTATACCTGTAGACATATTTTTATGTATATACCACACATCTTCTGTTTCTCTCTCTCTATTGTTCCAGTCCTAAAAATGTTTATGCCTGCGAATAACTTTACACAATAGTCACAGTGAACTCAGTTTACACCAGATAAGGACCTGGTCTGTAGTATCCTATGATGCATTTGTTATATGATGCAGAATTGGGTGAAATGTAATTAATTACATTTGTGCATTCACCATATGTAGGTGAAATTGTGCTTTCCCCTGCATCTGACCATATATGAAACAAAAAGCCAAATGACCCTGTACACCTCTTAGAGGCTATTATATTGAGGACAAAAGGTCAGAATACACTCCCCCTCGTATGACAAATACACCAAGATATATGCCTGTGAATGCAAATGATCAGAGTAGGGTATTCAGACATATGTTAGGCACACCCCACACATTTTAGACAATTAATGTTATTTAGACTTTATAGACAGCAAAATCTCCATAACACAGCCTCATTTTCTTACAATATTTTGGTATATTTTTCTATATAGTAAAGGTAGCTGCTATATTTTGAAAGGAAGTTCATCCAATTTTTTATAAACAATTAATTTGATATGAATACATATAGTTTGTAAAAACTGGCTGAAAATGCCACACACCTTTTGACTAAACATGACAGTAGCTTAGCTTTGATAAATCAGACCCTGTAAATACTGTACATAAATTTGCAGTTCAATGTTACAGGTGTTAGAATACTGTCCTGGGCTCACATGCTTTCAGTTTCTACTTCTGTATTTTTGTTTCTTGATTTAACTTGAAATTGGAGCTTTTCTTAGTTTAGCTGATTGTCTTTCTAAAACAATTCTTGAACAGCAAGATCATAATCCTGTTCTTGCTCCTCTGATTAGTGTGTGGGAGAGAAGGGGAAGCAGCCAAATGGACAGTTTTTGCATTATTCCTCCTGCACAGGGTGGGATAGACATGGCCTGGCTGAGGAGGTTTTTTTTTTTTTTTTTTGCCATTTCTGGTCTACATAATATGAATATTGACATTGTTTAAGCAACAAACGTCAATGATTATATAATATCAAATGCTAAATTAAACCACACAGTGGTTCAGTTACTAAATTAAATACACACTACTAAGTAATACATGAAAACATTTTACTTACAGGTGAATTAAAGATTTCAGTCCTCGAAAAGTATTTCTTGAAATTGACTTAATGCTGTTGTTCTCGATGAACCTGTAATGGGTCACAAATTCATTTTGGTTAAAGCAGTGCCTGTAAGTTGGAAATCCCACCTAGTCCATATTTCTAGAAACATTTTGTCCACTCACAAATATTCTAGATGAGGAAGGCCCATGAAAGCATCATCGCTAATAACATCAAAAGAGTTTGATGTAAATAACCTGCATAAGGAAATACAAAATAAACGGTTAGATTTTGATACTTTTTAGAGCATGATCTAGAAGTCCCCATGCAGACCAAACTCTCAGTGACCACATTGAAGGTTTTGTCTGTGTAAGGGTTGCAAGATAATATGGCTAAAGTGCACTGCCCATATATGGCATAGTATAGTGCAATCGTTCTCAACCTGTGTCCCACGGGTTGCTAGCAGCATAATCAACACACAGCTGTGGCCCACGTGATATCCTTAGGGCCATACAGATAATATATGTACTGTGTGGATGTGGCCCACATAACACATAGAGAGCTGCATATGCAGCCCACAATGGTAAATAGGTTGAGAAACACTGACCCTAGGGAGCAGAAAACTGCTTTGCTTTCTAGACTAAGGACTAGATCCTCAGCTGAGGTGAATTGATGTAACTCCATTGAGTACAGTAGGACTTAAGCACGTGCTTATCAGGCCAATCAGTTACCTATGCAAGCTCCATGAAACTAATGGGACTGCACAAGTATTACTAAAGACATACCCAGAAGACAATGAGGTGCACAGGTATCTTAAAGGGCCTGAATTGCCCTGCAGAACCTTTATTTCTGATGGTGATGTGGGAGAAGACCTTAGCTTGACATTCAGATTCCAGGATGAGTTTGCAGAGCTGGCAGTTAGGAAAAATCTTTAACTTGTGAAATGAGCATATTTGAGATATAATAAGCATGGATCCCTTAAAGCCATTTTAACTTAGTGTTCAGAGTAGAACCATATTTTAAAATGGATTTTGCCTACTGGAGGTGGTTCATAGTGCAGGTTTCATTATATATACATTATATTATATATGTATATATTTTTCTTTTTGTCTATCATATACTGCCATTACATTTAATTTTTCCTATAAAAATCTTTTAATCTTTCATAAAATTGATTAGTGTTCTGTCCTATTTATAATTAATAGACAAGTTTGCATTTGGCGATTTTAAATCAGTTTTGGATTGCCACACCCCTAATATGCCAGGGGATTGTCAACGAAGTTGAACATTTCCTCAATGGAATTACAATCAGCTGGACTTCAAGGGAACATGGACTTATAGTGTAATATCCAAAGGCACTCAAAGATTCAACATTACAAAGCATGAATTAATATATTTAACTTAATGAGTTAATTTCTTCTTTGGAATCCTGCATTAAAAAATAATTTCAAGTTAAATTATTTTCTAGCTCTGCTACTATAGGTTATACTTTCTCCAGTTAAAGAGTTTGACATAGATTTATAGGAATGGTTTTAACAGGAAAGATTTCTTCACATGTATGTTTCAAAAGCTTGAGATCAAATCTTGCCATCAGACCCACGTGGTAGATCTGCATCATAGCTTGCCTGCAATTCATATTTATTTATTTACTATTAACATAATTGTCTCAGGGTACTTTTTATTTGATCACTATCTACCCTCTTTGTAGTATATAGGAATAGGATAGTATCCCTTTAAATAGTTTATGAGCCCTCTAGTCTATTGGCATTGCCTATATTCTATGTTTTAGAAGCTGCTCGAATCCAACCAGAGCATCAGGGTGTATATGAAGTTAAGTTTTCTTTCATCCCTCTTCTCCCAACTGTGGAATGGGTTGGGTTTTTTGTTCTAAATCACAAATTGGTTTCTTAAGTGAGCAATCTGGGGATAGTTTGTATTGTTTTAGCGTACTACTTGTCAAAACCCACAATGGAACAAAAACTGCTTTTGTAAGTTTGGAGATTATGTTGCAGCATTTTGTTAGCAACAACATGTGTTACATGTGTTAGTGAAGTGAATGGTATATCATGCAAATACAGCCTGAGGTATATATTTATTTATTTATTACCATAGGACCTAGTCATAGACCTGGACCCCTTTGTTCTAGGTGCAGTACAAACACAGTGCAAAAAGACGGCCCCTGTTCCAAGAAGCTCTCAGTCTACCCCACTTAACCTATTCTATGGCCCATGCTAGATGTAGGATTGCTAAGCGTAGGTGGCATAGCACAGCCAAGAGGGAGGATTATGATGTCCTTTTCACTTTACTGACATACAAGCAACGTAATACAAATACAGCTACTTCATTTTCTCTCTGTTGGAAGGCCCAGCTCAGAAGTCATGTGGGCTTTGTCCCTTTTGCAATCTGTGAGCACTTTGGAAAATCTTGTAGAGAATAATGCACAATGGAACAGTATTCAGGTTTCCATAGTAACTACATTTACCTATTTACCCTGTATCCAAAATTGTACAGTGTGCCTGCACCTCCTTATCAGCTCCACTTGAGGTAGAAAAGCACAGCTTGAGTCATGGCTTCAGCTACCCTAGCACCAACAGTTTAATGTAACAGCCTTAGTGCTCTAATACATCAAAAATTCACTTTGTAGCAAATCTACTGCACATGTGAAATCAGTCATACACAGGTGTCCTATTTCATTTTTGAACAGACTGAAAAAAGTCTCTTGTCGGGTTTCTGAAACAAATTTGGATACATCTCAAACTGATAGCAAACCCAGTACAAACAGTTCAGGTTTACGTCTTCTATATCTTTGTACAGCTAGTGATTATATAATCACTCTTCCAGTTTTCTAGAAAGCTATTTCTCTGGAGAATCTGTAAAATTTTACACACAAATGAATCTAAACATCTAACAATATTCCAGTGTTCTGTTCAGTGCACACACTGTCATAGTGTGTGATTTTGCAATGACTGCTTAAGAATTTACAGTTTTCATCACTCTCTCTACTTTAGAGAATGCAAAATAACAAATGATGGTCCAAATCCAGTCCCTACCTAGGCAAAACTCCTATTGAAGTGTCTACACTTCTACTGAAATTAATGGTAGTTTTGTCTGAGTAAGGACTTCAGGATTCATCCCATTGAAATTAAGGGTCTGATCCTGAGACATCCTGAACATCTCATCAATGGGGATTCGGCCCTAAGATTGCAGAAAAGAAACAGGCATAGTTGTGGTAATGCTCAGACCCCTTCAGTAACGTCCATTAGAGTACAATACATAAGAGGATAGCATATCTGTCATCACAGAAAGCAATCTTCAGAATTTAATCTATTCCAACTAGCACTGACAGCAAATAATAATAATTAATAATTAATAACCCCCCAAACCACCAAATAAGTACATACAGTTTAACACCCCCACCCCATTAAACATATGCCATCTTTCAAAATTACCTTTACTTCAAAGTCTAACTGTTTGTGTATTTTGATGTGTAATGGATCCACCCTTGCTATTTCTTATAAAATGAGTATTCAGACCCTTACTATATTGTTTATGGATAGATATGTTTCATAACAAATAATCATATGATATAAATATTTCTCACAGAAGCTGCAGAGACGGTGTGAGCAAAAAACTCCCTTCTGGGATTTTAGTAAAAGCAGATCTCACAAAGGATCTGGAAAGAAGGGGGAAAAAATTGTGTTAATGTGATCTCAAATATTCATCATTACAACACTGAGCTGTGAATCACAATATAATTTCTTTACATAGCTACTATTAATTAAAAATAAAAACAAATCTGTTACAGTTTTCACATAATACAGAAAAAGGCAGAAAAAGGTACATGTATAGAAGAAGGAGATGTAACACACATTTTAACATTTTATCTGATGATTGTGAATGCGGAAGGTTTATTCTCTACTGCAAGCATCATTCAGACTGCGCTGAAAACACCAAACATAATAGTTCATTTTAAATAATAAATTAAATAACCAAATGCTTACAGCCCTTACAGTGAGATAACATCAGGCGGAACGCTGGTTGGAATAGATCTGGCATTTTCACATAAAGCATTATCTTTGGTACAAGTACACCAGGCAGGACATTTTGGCTTCACTGATTTCTTCCCTTCAGTCAGCAAAAGCATACATAAAAGGCATAGGAAATAAGCAATTCTTCTAAAGGGTCTGCTGGCATTTCCCATTCTTTTGATCCACTCTGGTTCCAGCCAGTTGAAAGAATATCCCAAAACATGAACAGGGCTTCTTTATTCAGTCGCTGGATGTCTTTCTATAAGGCCAAGTCAATATTTGTCTCTCCTTTTCCAACCCTTCCCCTTTCCCTCTGTATCTGTTATTGAAGATAGAAACCTGCAGCTGATCTCTGTGTTTCTACTCACTCAGGCAACGTACTGCTCAGAGAAGGGACCTGCGAGGTGCTGTAAGATGGGGAAAATCCAACCAGCTGTAGGGAGGGAAAAAAAAAAAAGACTTGCATCACCACAAAAACACTGAGCACAACACAGCATTAGATTGCAAGTTGATGTAACTGAGAAAATACACTGCTTTCTGTTTTCATAGGGAGGCCCTTCCTTGTTACCAAAAATAGTACAGCATTATGTTTTGCTGGTGGGTGGGTGAGTGGGTGTGGGGTGGAATGTGCATGTGTGGGGAGAAACAGTCATCTTTTTCTGGATCCTTACAACCTCATAAACCTTTGGGAATTGTGCTTTACATATTACAAGTGACTGGAGAAGTAAAAAAGCCAGTATCCACTGGAAAATGAAATTGAGTGAAACCATCAAAAGCATTGCTACAAAATCTGTTAGATTAATTTCTATCCTTGGCCTTTATTGCACATGTTTGTATCACTGAAAAACAAAAAGGCACACATGGAAAATATTACTGAGTATGAGAGAATGCCTACAACTGTCATTTCTAAACAAAATATTCTACCATGCAAAGCTTTTGCCACACTGCATTTTTTAAAGAACACCCTTACCTGTCTCACATGTCTGCTAAATAGAGCGCATCACTGAATGTTCAAAATAAACAATATTCAATAAAGTTCAATTTAGAAATTTATTTGGTTGCCTGATTTGATCATTTTTAGAAGAAAAAGTGAAAGCTGGCTGTTTAAAGCATCTAGATACATTACAACTACAACAAAGAAAGGATCTTATTTCAGTGGGAGCAGTATTGGGACCTATCACCATTCATGATTATTATTTATTTATTAATTAGTGTTACAATAGTACCTAAAGCCCCCAATTGAAATTAGTTCCCTTTTGTGCTAAGAGCTATACAAACATGTAGAAAGAAATTGTCCTTGCTCTAAAGATCTTACAATAATATAAGTATTAATACATTTAATATTGTACATAGACTTTTACATTTTCAAAATTAAACATAAATATAGCAAGAATAGTAAAACAGAACTAATCAAAGTCAAACATTTAGAAAGACATATTTCATGGCTATGTTTTGCACTTTACTTTGTACATCTAATTTGAAGATCTCAAAGAACATTGCAAACATTAATGCATTTAAACTTATCATACCCATGTGAGGTAAATAGCATTATCCCCATTTACCAGATTAGAAAACTGAGGAACAATGAACTTTGCTTGAGAAAGAAAAGTGGAGAGTTTCACACAGCCCTGGGTTGCCTAGGCAACCAAGGTTGGGAGAATGGCTATGTACATAACTGAGTTTCAAGATTACTTCTGGCATGTAAGAGTCATAGATTTTAAGGTCAGAAGGGACTCATTAGATTATCTAATCTTATCTCCTGTTAACACAGTGCATAGAATTTAATTCAGTTACTTCTGTAACTTATGTTTCACTAAAGCATATATTTCAGGAAAAGCATCCAGTTTTGATTTGAAGACTTTAAGACATGGTGAATCCACCACTTCCTTGGGTAGTTTGTTACAATGGTTAAATAGCCTCATAGTTAAAATTTCTGCCTTATTTTTAATTTCAATTTATCTGACTTTAGTTTCCAGCCATTAGTTTTTGTTATGTCTTCCTCTGGTAATTTAAACATCCTTTTAGCATTAGGTATTCCCCCCACCCCCGAAAGTACAGTCATTTCTTGATCTTCTTTCTGATAAACTAAACAGATTGAGCTCTTTAAGTGTCTTACTGTAAAGATGCTTCTTGTTGGGCTGGACCTTAGGGTTTGTTCATACAACGAGTTAGTGCCCAGTAAACTGGGGTGTAAATCTTCAGTGTTCCAGTGAGCCATGCATTAATTGTCCATATGGACTCTGCTGCTGTACACTAAAAGTTCCCTAGTGCGCATTGATGCAAAACACACTATCAGCCCCAGGTTACTGCACACTGACACGTTATATAGACATGCCCATAGATAAATGGTCATCGCAAAATTATTGGGTCAATTTTATTCCTGGTATAATTCCTTTGAAGGCTTTCACTCTCTACTGAAGATTCAGTTCATGGAACTAAAGAATACCAAGGATGATGTCAGCCCACTACATCGGTGCCTTTAAAACAAAAGAAGGGAGAATCTTTCCAAGCCTGGAATATGATAGAAAAGAGAAGGTAAAGAAGAAGGCAAAAAGTGATGGCATCAGATGAGTGCAACATGGACTGTATTAGTGTCCTCATGGAAATATTTTCTTAATTCATATTGTGGAGATGTACTGCATAACAACGTTTGGATGAGGCTGCGTGGGAAACCATTGTTGTGGGCTATGCCAAACCTAGTAGAAATAGAAACAAAGTTCTGATGAGCATCCTTCAGGAGTGCTGTTTTTTATATATAATTCAGTTTGAATTACAAAGTGTGCAGCTACCTACAGAGCTAAAGAAAAGGAACATAACAGTGCCATAGAGCTGTATCTTCTACACTTACTTTTTGCTTTGCTCTCTTTAAAGATTATAAGGTATTGTAACTGTGAGATCCTTAGAATGGAAATCCCAGCTTTGTGCAGAATATGGCCAAAAGAAACTGTCTTGTACATAGTAGGTTGCAGGGCTGCTACTAGCAGATCAGGCTCCTGTAACAGATGTAGACGTCCTACAGAGCCTGCTTCTCAGAGAGATGCTCCAGAGATGCCTCTTCCATAAGAGCCTTCAATGTACTGCTATGTATAGCTGAATGCAGTGTTGCTGTAGCTGTGCTGGTCCCAGGATATTATAGAGGTAAGGAGAGTGAGGTAATGTCTTTTATTGCATTTCAATGCACCAGTGCAGTTTTCGTATGCTTCAGAAAATGTGCCCTTGAAGATTGTGACAATAAGAATCAAACCAAATTTCTTGTGTACCAGGCTGTTGTTATCCCTGCTCTCTTGTATGGTGGTGAAATCATGTACAGTATCTCTTGTATCTCTTGTACAGTATACACTTCAAGGTTATCGAATGATACCATCAATGGTGCCTCCACAAGATCTTCCGAATCAAGTGGGATGACCAATGCACCAATATCAGTGTTCTGTTCCAAGCCGAAACCTGCAGCATTTAAGCTATGATCATCTACTACCAACTCCGTTGGGCTGGTCATGTTCTTCGAATGCCTGAATATTGATTCCCAAAGCAGGTCACGTTCTCACAACTGAGCCATGGCCAATGAACGAGGGGTGGGGGAAAAAAGCACTTCAAAGACACCCTCAAAGCCAACATGAAGTTACAATATTGACATAAACTCATGGGAAACCCAAGCCTTCGACTGACCAAAATGGAAAAGGATCTTATGGCAAGGACAATTACAAAAGGATCTGTCTGGCTCGAAAGCTTGTCTCTCTTACCATCAGAAGTTGGTCCAATAATAGATATTACCTCACCTACCTTGTCTCTTTAGGTATGGCTGAAGTTAGCTAGTGGCCGAACAGTATATTACAGTTTAACGTTGATTACAGAAACCATTTAGACCAGTGGTCCCCAAAATTTTTACCTCTCCCCCCGCTTACTCCTGTCCGCAACCCTCCCTGGAACTGAGGCCAGGAGTGGGGCCATGGCTTTGGGAGGGGAGGGACTCAGACAGGGGTAAGGGGGCCGAAGCTGGGGCCACAGCTGGGGACAGGGGTGGGGCCAGGAGCTGGGGCTGGGAGCAGAGCCCCAGGCATGGGGCCAGGAGCTGTGGTCCTGGGCATGGGGCTGGGTGCAGGGCTAGAAGTGGAGTGCTGGGTGGCAGCCAGGCCCCCAACATGGACAGGAAGCCGAGGCTGGGGCCAATGCTCTCTCCCCTACCTCCATGGAGGCTGGTTCAGGCCACAGCCACGCCCCACATCCCGAATGTTCCTCTGTGCCCCCCTAGGGGAGCATGCCCCATAGTTTGGGGACCTCTGATTTAGACATTTGTGGTGTTATGCAGTGTAGCCATGTTAGTCCAGGATATTAGAGAGACGGGGTGGGTGAGGTAATTTTTTTGTTGTTGTGGTGCTGGCATTTTTAAACCCTTTATTCATAGTAGAGAGAGAATGAGAGCCTGCTTTGGAAGATGAAGATCTCAGATAGCAGTCTGATTGGAACAGAATCTACTTAAAGCTTACAAACATATTCTCTTCTTTTTAGGTCAAGTCTCCATATACTTGACTATCATGAGATGGTCAGAGAATTCTGAAAGTGGCAGAGTTTTACAAATATGCTCCCTAATCACTGGAGTTGTTTAAGTTTGATGGCTGTCATCTTTTTGGCTCTTTGTTAATACAAATAATTCATGCTGCTTCTGCCGGGGATAGGGTCCGGGGGAGAATCGGGGGGCCTTAAGGGGGTTTCCCCTGTCCCACAGCTTCTGCCGGGGACAGGGTTGGGGGGTGCTGCGGGGGCTTCCCCCATCCCACCGCTTCTGCTGGGGACGCTGGGCACGGGCCCAATGGGCCCAATGGCTAATCTGCCATGCACATTGTAATAAGGTACTGATGCTGTTATGAATCAAATGCTGTCCCCTTCTTATGGGCATGGAGTTTCCTGCCTGCAGTGGAACTTACAGAGTTGTGCTGTTCAGAGGGAGGCAAGAGTTGTGGAGTTTGAACAGGGTGCACCACCCTGTATGCTGTGAAAAGAAGAACAGGAGTACTTGTGGCACCTTAGAGACTAACAAATTTATTAGAGCATAAGCTTTCGTGGACTACAGCCTGTATGCTGTGGAGCGCAGCTCAGACAGGGCTGCCATTCAGAAAGGATTCATGGTGGGGTGAGCCCAGTGGATTCACCACTGCATGGATCCACTAGTCCAGTGGTTCTCAACCTTTCCAGACTACGTAGCCCTTTCAGGAATCTGATTTGTCTTGTGTACCCCCAAGTTTCACCTCACATAAAAACTACTTGCTTACAATATCAGACATAGAAATACAAAAGTGTCACAGCACACTACTACTGAAAAATGGCTTACTTTCTCATATTTACCATATAATTATAAAATAAATCAATTGGAATATAAATCTTGTACTTACATTTCAGTGTATGGTACATAGAGCAGTACAAACAAATCATTGTCTATATGAAATTTTAGTTTGTATGGGCTTCACTAGTGCTTTTTATGTAGCCCGTTGTAAAGCTAGGCAAATATCTAGATGAGCTGATATATCCCCTCCACGTACCCCTGTGTGCTCCCAGGGGTATGTCGAGTCGGACTTCTGGTTGAGAACCACTGCACTAGCCTGTCTCCAATTTTTATACTGAGAAGAGAAAGTTTTGTGCTGTGGCGGGCAAAGCTATCCATTACAGAGGCAATATTTTACCATTGATGATGAAGCCCCAAGTTCCATTTTTTTAAGTTACTCATTTAACTCAACCATCAATCATCAAGGCATTTCTTTTGGATCTATACTCTAGCCACATTGTGACGCTCATGGAAACACTGAAATGTAGATTTTTCAGTAAGAAAATCATGTCTGTTAGTTACAGAAATATTGCCACAGAACTGTACCACGATTCTCAGTGAAATTTTTTCTACCCTGAGGATCTTTAAAATATACCTTCCATTTCAAATTGCATGTCAAAACAACCTGTTTCTCCACAAATATAAATATTATAAATGTTTATTTTATCACAGCCCTGTAAAAGAAGAGAGACAAATGACATTTTCCAGGTCTTGCTTATGCTAAGTTTTATATCTGCTTTCTTTCAATGAATTTGTATAAAAACAATATGGTTTGTGGATTTTCAGGTGCACACCCATGCTTCAATCATTGCAATATTTGACTTACTCGTTACCACTGCCATCATTGTTGGTTTTCTGGCTCAACAGAACAACCTATAGCCTGCTGTGTCCCACATCAGAGTGCCCGAACTGCTTCTAGGTCCATACTATTTTGTTTTTGCTTGTGATTCAGATTCTGATTAGACAGCAAATGATTCATAATTTGTTTCCTTGTTTTCAGTGAGGTTTGTAGGGGTAGACTGAGGAGTTGTGAAATGTTTATCAGCTATCCCTGGCTTGATTTAGGCATTGTTTTCAGTTCTTCAGAGAATCTTCACCTTGCTGTGCAATGGAAGTGCACATTGGCAGACATGTTGCAGAATGGGCAGAGATGAGCTTGACTGTGCTGCTGGCTCTAGTTTGTTTTCATTGTGATATTTATAAATGAAGCCCAGCTGATTCTTTTAAGCAGAACTATATATGCCAGTGCAAAAATAATGTGAAGTGTGTTTGGTTTTCTAGAAAATGATCCTTAAAACTGACTGAGCTTTATAAGCAGTGATTTCTAAATCTGAATCTCACTGTATTCATTTTGTGTTCTGCTCCACTATCACTACTGGTAGGTGGCTACTGTAACCTGGCAACATGAAGAATTGCAGTAATCTATGTTCTGCAAAACCTCTTAAGGCTTAACTGCTAACTCCGATCATTAGCTTTTCCTTTAGCATTTGCTGTGCACCTTCCTTAACTTACAAATATGGATGATACATATATTGGTTACTTGTTTTCCCCTCTACTCTGTTTCTGCTGCATGAATTGGCTAAAGCAGGACAGAGCGTAGCAGCCATCCAAAAACAAAAAGGTGGAATGAGGCCAGTCTACTCCTTGGAGACATGAACATGTTTGTCTCAGTGTTTTCTGCTCTTTGTCTTTGCCTCTCTTCCTGGAAGGGAATCTTTTTGACTTTCACTCCCTTTCTTCAAGACCTGAGAATCAATAAACTTTGCATTATTTTAAGCAAGTCAGATTTTTTTAGTGTATAGTACATTTGTTAATAGTGAATTGATATTTCTCCCTTTGAATTTTTATTGTTAGATCTGAGCAAATAATTCTTAGTGAATAATATATTATACAGCTTGCATCTACTTCTGTTTTGGATTTATTCTCAAACAGGTTATTTCCTTGAATATATTTATTGTTTGAAATTGCTTGGCGAACACCTTGTTTGAATAACCACTCTTCAATGGATCAAGCAGTTTGGTGCAAGTATATAGTAGTTGAAATTTAAGATGTGTTAACTAGTTCTGATTGGATGTATTTATCACATGGTATCATTTCTGTTCCCTGATTAGATTAGAATAACTTAATATTAGGCATCTAGTGCAGCTATACATGTTTATGAGCTAAAAACAGCTCTCAACAAATATTCTTAACTTGCTGCTTAAAAATTTCTGTTGCTGTGAACATTCCTACAGTAAACTTGTTTGCTAGTCTATTTGAGGAAAGCAAACACAAAAGTTCAGGAATCACCGCCAAGTTAATTATTTTAAAAAATCATTTAATACATTTGTAAGGGATTAACTCTGCCTACTGACTATATTTACATATCCACACTAGCACAATATGTTTTCAATACTAATTTACAGCAACATTCCAATAAGCTGTCTGTAGTTTCATACTGACTACATTTCTCTCTCCAGAAATGTGTACTGCTATAATTGTGTACTGTTATAATTGTCATCTATTTTATTTTGCTTTTGGAAAAACTGGCAGTCCCTTTTGTGTTCATTGCATACACTCTGGCATATAGGACCTGCTTCACTTCAATGGATCAGGCCCATAATATATGGTCTGGCAGATGGACAATAGTCATAATCACATATATGTTGCTGCATGACCTATTACTATGGTACCCACAAATTCAGGGGGGTTCTAATGACAAGCTTATCATCACTACTGTGTTGCAATTGTGTTTAGAGCAAAATAATTTTGAGATCAGAGATTTCTGCAAATCTCTGATGATTCTGAGTATACATACTCAGTGCTGACCTTTTAACAAATTATGCAGCAAATGCCAAATTCAAACCAGCTGAGGGTCTGTTTTACCTCATCCTCAATAAACAAAAGAAAGTCCTTTTAAAAACAACCAGTTCTGAAAGGTGAAAGGTTACCCTTTCTGGTGGTGCAATCACTGAGATCCAAAAATTCCTTGTGCTTCTTATAGGATAGATAACAAACCTTGAGCTGACTTGATAGTGGATCATCTAACATCATAGGGAAAGTCACAAAGATGTCTGTAACTTTCAATTGGAAGTTTCCTATTTACCCCCTGATGGCATAAAGACCTAGGCTGCTGAGCTCTTTCTTTGCTACACCACAGGAGTGGCACTGACTGTAAGCAGTCAGGGCATTTCCTCTCACTAAAGGCTTGGGCAGATTGCATTGTATTCAGTGGAGTTCCACCAGTAAGAATAAATGAAAGAAGAATCAGGCCCTAGTCAAACTTGCGTGGTGATGCACACCACTGACTACGTGGACCAACCTTGTTGTCTACACAGGTAGCTTTTCTATTGCTTGCTTGCTTGGATACACTGTAGTATAACTCCCATATCAATTATAGAAATATATCTGCATATGACAGGAAATGTATACTGAAAATGTAACCTAAACACCTTCTGTAATTTCATTCTGTGATGAACAGAGCTGTGCAGCATGTTTGCAGCAAAAACTGAAATTATGCAAAATTTACCTCTGTTCTGGTTTTGTTACTGTTATAACTAAAGTTTTCATTGACATACTTATGATTCTTAATTTTTTATTTTTAGCATTAGAAATGTAGACACCAGAGAATATTAGAGATTGCATGAGGATCTATCTCAGTTTTAGTTTTTTAAAAAGTAGTTTCTATTCCTCATGATTGCAGAGAAGAAAAAAAGCTTGAAAATGTGAACTGTAAAGGCTCAAAAACCAGAAGGCAAATAAAACAAATCCAACATTTATTATTTTTAATAATTCATTATTTTAAACCAATCTCATGATTTTTTTGGAGGGGCGGGGGGTCTAACTCATGATTTTGAATGCCTGGGATTGGCAATACTGTAAAAGTTAAGCATGTGCTTAAGTGTGTTGCTGGATTGGGGCCATACTGCATTTCACCCAAAATAAGATTACCTGATCCGATGCAATGCTATTACCTTTACCAGATCTGGCCAAAGTATTCCTACTTAGATTCTATTGTAGGTTTTTGTGTTAAAAATTCAGACATACAAAAGCTAGGGACAGAAAAGTTTTTTAAAACAGAAAACAGTAGATATACAAACCCAGTAGTAGAAGACAGTCTGATGTTCAAAGGCCCTGTGTGAATATATATTAATTCAGAGTAAGTGACCACGTCCTATATAAAGAAATGCATCAGGAAAGGAGGCATGTTAAAGAAATGTGCCAGGTTTCCTCTTTTTGTATTCTCAAAATCTTTCAAGAGAATTTGGCTTTAGTTAACCTAGGACCTGGGAAGAGGGACAGACCACATATGCATGGTTGGAGAGGAGGTAGCTTTCAGTCAGGCAAAATGCCTGTTGACTTCAGTGGGACTGGCATCTGGCTTTCTGAGAAATAATATACCCTCTGCTGCAAGTAAATGAGCTACTTTCAAGACTCTTTTTGGAGAGCAATATTGTTTGTTTCAAAGTTTAATCTACTTCTCTTTCTATGTTTTCCATGTGTGGCATAATCAGATATTAAAAGCATGATTTGCTTAAGAAAATCTATAGTTAATTTATTATTGGAAATGGTATGATGATTTTGGAGAGAAAGTTCTACATGTATTTTTAACAGACATTGGCAAAAGTGATATGAGTGACAGTTACATTGCTGGGGTAAGGGTAGATGCATCCTTATCTCATATGTGGCAGCACAGAGGGATCTGCAAACAGAGGGTGTAATGGCAATTAGGTAACTATTAATGTCAGGACATGGGTCAGCGTTCCCATCGTGCTCCTTGTCAGTACCTGGCCTGGGGAAGCTAATGATCCAACCAGTGGATCAAATCCTAGTCACGTGCCACCTGAGGCATGTTGCGCATACTCTAAGAAGAAGTGTAAAACTTGAAATGCAGTTCAGGTTTGTCAATGGTTCGCTAAAGTCTATGAACCTGAACCCAGTTTTGGGTGGACGCGGATGATATATAATTTTCTCAGTGAAACTGAAGCTCTGTGCTTTTTGTCTCTGTTTTGCTTGAGTTTTTGTAAACGTGAAACTCAGAATGAAATACATGGTGTAGAGGAAATGTTCCCACACACTCGAGCGAATTAGAACACAACATTGCTGACAAACCCACTTATTCAAGACCAAACCAGTTTCTGTGAGAAAATATGGAAAAAAATGAACCTCACAACTGTTTGTATTATTTCGATTGTTATTGTTTTTAGTGTTTCGATTGTTATTGTTTTAAAGTTAACTGCATGTGAGAGAACAATCCTGAGATAGTTTATAGTATAGTCTACTATAAACTATCTCAGGATTGTTCTCTCACATGCAGTTAACTTTAAAACATAACCTTTATTATATTTGTATTTATTTTATTTTTTCTTTGCCATTTTGCATAAGTGTGTCCTAAATGTTAGAGGATTTTTGTTAAGTAGCAGAGTTAACAGGATTTTGGGAGAGATTCTCCAGTCATTAAAACTAACATCAGTATTCTGCAAATAATTACCTCCCTGTATAAAATACAAAGACATAAGGGACCAAATTTGCAATCTGCAAAAATGAATATTTCATGCTGGTTGAACAGGAGAAAAAATAGATGTACAGTATTACTAGTTCCTGACTAAAACACAATGGGAGAAATGCTGTCCACATTGAAGTCAAGGGGAGTCAAAGTCATCCCTGTTGTAAAACCACTGAAGTAATGGGATTACACTCAATGCAGGACCTGCCTCATCATTCACATAGCATTAACTCATGAAAGAAAATCGAAATACTTTGGAAAGTTGGGCTGTGGACCAGCGCTGAACCAACTGAAGGTCTTTTTTCAAGCTTCTTCCAGGATGCCATAAGCCTTGTTGATGGCTCCTCAATTATATTGTATTGTAGTCTTCAGTGCTTTTAGCACCCTGTAAGAAGCTTGAAAAAAGATTTTACGTTCTTACAAGTTCAGTCCTTTTCCCTTAGCCAAACCTTGGGCCTCACTGATCCGCCTGGATCTGTTTGGAAGGTTTTCACAGCAGTGTTTCCTCCAGGCTGAGAAAGGGAGGGATGTGCCTTGTCTCACCACAAAGCCCTGCAGAGATTACTCCAGAAATATCAAACAGTCCCAGGCTGCATTATTTTTCCACTGTTAGGATCTTCCTTTAGGGGAGGCCCCAGAGGCAGCCACCTGCTGGAGAAGTCCATTGTGTGGCTCTACTTGTTTATACACCTTCCAAGTGGAAGAACAGAAAAAAATGTAAGATCATATCTAAGCAGTGGCTATGGTTCTAATGTAATTGTCACCTTTTCTGGCAAAAGAATCATACACTTTTAAACTATGGCTATTCAGGAGCCAGAGGATTTTCCCTCTTGTGATTATAATAATGTTTGAATAGGTCAAATTTTGGACTTAGGCTGCTTGCTACACATTACTTTCCTGAGACATCACCCTAATCCAGTCTTGTGCGCATGCTTCTGGATCATGATTTGGCAGCTACAAGAGTCATGGGACAGTTTCTGCCGTTGCTCTTGTGCTGAATACTTCTGAGATCACCATGGAGACTCCTGTTCTTCGAATGACATTGCGATAGATGCCTCTTCCCATGAAAAAAACTCTTGTGTGAAGGCTCAGAGGAAGAAACTCTTTATGAGAATGTACTTTTGGAGATTCGCCCTTTGCTCCCTGGGGTCAGGGTTTGCCACCTTCCCCCAGAGAACAGGCCAGGGGCTTGCCTAAAACTGCATAGCGTTCCATACTTCCTATCCCTCCCTGCTCCCAGGAAATCCCCTTCATTGAGAATCCCCACCACAAGAAGTCCATGAAAAATAAAACACAACCTTCTGCTTTTCTTACCAAGCTTTGCAGGGCCAGAATGTGCGTGAGAGACATACATCACAGGTATGTAAGTTATGTATGTGGCTATAACATCTGAGCACCTCACAATCTTCTATGTATTTTCCTCATGACATTGCTGTGAGGTAAGGAAGTGTCCCCATTATACAGATGGGAAACTGAGACTTATAGAAACAAAGTGCAGAAAAGTCTGTAACAGAATAGGAAATTGAACCTATGTCTTCCAGTTCCCAAGCTAGCACTCTAACTGCATCATCCTTTCTTCTTCCACTTAGTGCTGCCTACTTCTGCCCTGACCTGCCCAGATGCCATCCATATCTCCACAGGTTCAAAAGCATGATGCTGTGAAGGCAGCTAAACCCCTCCCTACAGGGGTGGGGGAGATCCACAGACAGATGGCTCTCTTGTCATGTGGATAGAGTGGGGGGTGGGGATGATCTTTTGGCCTCTATATTGGTGTCCGCAAAGAAGAATGTTGAGGTAGCAAGAATGGTAATCAATCCTTCTTCAATATTTTAATATTTTGTTTAAAGTTGAATGTGACTTTGATGGAGGCAGGATTTCAGCCAAGATGTCTATTTGAAATATTTTCTACCTCCTACATGCACTTGCATTAACTAATTTGTGAGACTGTAATTTTAATTTTTACAGTTATAGACCTAGCACAATACATTCCTGTTTTTATTGATGGCAGAGAATACAATTTGATTTTTGTATGAAAAGTCTGACTGTTTTGTTCCATTTTAAGCTGCTCGAACTTCTCTCACTGCTTAGATACCAAGGTTATAGGCATCTTGAAAGTACTTTGGATAGAAAGATAGATGATATCCAGTGTTTAATTTCTGAATAATCTTTGTCATAAAATAACACTAAATTTTATTTAATTTGAAATATAACCCGTATTATTTTCATTATCTGGCAATCAGTAGTGCACTGGTCCGAACACAAGATCAATTCTAATCTGGCTGGCATTCAGTATTATTAAATGAGGGTTCAGCATAGTACTGTACAAGTAGCTTTAAAAGTAGATGAAAATGGAATTTTACTTATTCATTTCGTTTCACTGCACTGAACAGTCTCTTTATATCTCTCTGTCCTTCACTCTCCTCTAAATGATCAACTGTTGGTCACTTTGGACTAGATAATGCCATCCTTACACATGCTGAGTATTACCTGGCTCTGCTAGTAATCCCGTTAAAATAAAATGTGGAAAATGGCCAGATTCTGCCACCCTTAAATTTTAGTCTGCCTTATATTAAAAATACTTTTAAAATCTAACAGTATGGTCTCAGACATTCCAGCACACTATTGCAAACTAAACAATGACCACTGTTACAGAATATTGTAGTATTTTCTTATATTTAAGAGAAACAAGCCAGAAGACTATGATTATTTTGGCTGACCTGGTCATAGAATTTCACCCATTAATTCCTGCATCAAGCCCATAATTTCTTGCTGAACAGAGCATGGTAGGTATCTGTGCAGGCCAGGAGTCTGCTTGAACAAATGCAATTGCAGGATTGTGACCTTAGTCCCTCTTTACTATACTGCTGCTTGGATTGTAAGATCTTTGGTGCACAGACCATGTCTTGTCTTGTCCATGTTCCATACAATGTTAGGTGCCCAACAAATAAATAATAAATATAAAAACAACGACATGCCACTGGCTTCTTGTCAATGTTCATCATGAACAAATTATTATGTATCCATGTTGTGTCTATTGTGTACAAAACTACCTGTGTATCAAGAAACAAGGGAATACATATATGTATTTTTACTGTGCTTTAACATTGAAATGTGCTGTAGCTCTGCCCACATGCTACCCACTTATACAAAACAAATCTGATAGGATACAATATAACTTAAAGAGAATGTAAACTGTGGCTATCTTGCTTTCATTGTTGGAATACCCACCTGACTCCATCTTCTTTGCTGCTGTGCTTATAGCTTGTTTTATTTCCGCCTCCCCCGTTATTTAACTTCTACTACAGAATTGAAAAGCAGAATTATCCCCCTTTAATGGATTTCTTTATTGGTGTGGTTGTCATCAACAAGTTTCCACCACAGCAGCTCTACAAATTAATCTATGTTTATACATTCCTTACTTTCTTATAAAAGCTTCAATAGTTTGGAGATTTTCAACATAATTCACTTTTAAAATCTTCTCCAAATTTTAAACTGTAATTAATTCCTTTCAGGAGCTGTTAGTTTCTGAAGTCCCTTAATTTCAGTGCAACTTAATAAAACTATGAAAAAGCAGTTAATGCACAATCATAATAACTTTTTAATGAGATTCTTGGTAGGCTAAATTCATTATATAAATGTGTATGTGTATATGTGTTTATAATCTCTTAATTAATTTAGTACTAATGCCAGGTGCCAGATTGAAAGCTCTAGTGACTGAAATAATCTGCCACAGAATAAACATGGCAGAGACAGTAGTAGTACAAGGACAGTAGTAGGGTTGCCAATTTTGGTTGGATGTATTCCTCGAGGTTTCATCACAGGACATAATCTAATTTAATTAAAGATTAATCTTTAATTCCTGGAGACTCCAGGACAATCCTGGAGGGTTGGTAACCCCAGACAGTAGACAGCTGTCTACACCATAAAATCACCACTAGACCTTTTTAGATACTAGTACACACTTCTATAGCACTGTAGATGAATGTTGTAACATTGAAAATACACAGAATATCATGCTAATGATCTCAGAAAATTAAATACATGTACACTGAAATGTCAATTGAAACAAAATTTCTTTCACCTTTTCACAGACTGAAAATGTGTGATCCTTCACATGCTACACTGGTGATTATGTTGCAAAGGAACCATGCAGCAAGTTTTGCCGTGGACATAAGCAGAAGTCTGTCCCTTTTTCTGCAGAGGAGAGGCAGGTGAGGGGTCAGCTGCCTCCATGACACCATTCCTTCGTCCTCTGGAGTATACAGACAGCACTTGATGGGTTCAGAATCAGTGCAGAAGGTGAGAGTAGAGACTGGGTAGGTCTGGGATCATAAGGATTAGATGGCACAATAGTAAGAACACTTGAACCTGGTTTACAATTGTGCTCCCATGGTTGCTAGCACTGGTGGTGCTACACTGTCTACGCAACAGTGCAAAATATCTTAGTGCAGACAGGACCTCATTTCATGGTCTCTTCCCAAAGTGCCTCCCATCTTTCTTTTCCTTCATTAGAGTTCTCCCATCCTCTTCCTCCCTTTAGTGTCTCCCTGCTTTCCCATACTCTAAGGGGAGCTGCTGCACCTAGTAAAGGTGGGGTATACCAGGTCTCCTTTTTTCTGCCACCTATGTTGCCTCTTCTTACACTGGTCTCAAGAGAGTTTCTGCTGTTGCCACTGTTGAAAGTAAGAGATGGCGGGATGGATCTCTCTTCTTACCCACCTTTGGGACTGCCACTGCTGCTGCCACTACTGAAGGTGGGGAAGCCAAGTCCCCTGCCCTTCTCCTCTAATATTAACTCTTTTAGATCCATTGGGGTGGCAGCAGTCTATTGCTACTGTTGAAGATGTGGAGGCAGATTCTCTTTTCCTCTGTCATGCTCTTGCCATCTGTTTATAGCTGAATTAGCTTTTCTACTAAGTTGCCCTCTTATGGCTGGAGGCTGCTGTACCAGCTCATTGATTGAGTTAGCTTAGCTGTGAGCCAAGGAGTTTGCATCAATCCTAGCACCACAGATGGCTGCCTGGATAGTTTCCCCCAATAGCAATGAATTGGTCATATACCATCCAGAATTGGAGAACCCTTAGCCTCAGACTTCATGGTTCCAAAAGCCATTGGGTGGCTGTAGTGGAGAATGAGAAAAACTGTGACAAATGTCTGATATTAGCAGTCATTTTCATTTAGAAATTAAGGATATTTCCACAATAAATAAAGCTATAAACTCACTTTAAAGATTAATTCTGAGATTTGAATTGACATTTAAAGAGTACCCAAATTAGGGAATTCATCACCATGGGTTTTGTGGGCCCAAAAGATTGTCCTTGATTTTGAATGATGACTAGGTAGACGTAAACTGATAAAATATATTTGAAACATTCATTTGGTTATGAATATGTTGATGTTCTTCATATACTATGTAAACATGACATCAGATGGTGGTGCTTTTTAACTTCCTGCTTTGAGGGGGAACAGGTTGGGTGATAACATTTTTAGGCATGGTTCACAGTGACATAAAGGGTTAATCTATCCCTGAAATATAAAAAGTCCTCAAAATAATAAGCAAAAGGAAATCCTAGAGCAATCACTCATACATAGCATCCAGAAACATGAACTACTTTTACAGATATTTATTATAGTAACCTTATTTTTTAAAACTGTTCTCATAACTGCTTTTGAGAACTATTTTTTAAATGACAAACAGGACCATTTCAACTGCAGTTGAATCAGACAGTCTCAGTGGGGCCATGCTGCCATTATCGACTGTATAAATATTGCCATTGGCTCACAGCCCAGTTTATTTTAATGTTTTTAGTTGAGCTCTGGAAACTTCATGGAAATGCTAGGCCTATGATTCTTGCTTGGATTGTTCTCTTGAGTGCAGCAGACTCTGCTGTAAGCTCACTAAATAATGTAGCTTCCACAACATCATAATGTTCAAACTGAGAGGAAGCTAAAGTGGAGCTGTTGTGAATTAAAACAACTGTAGTGCTTCACACATACTTGACTCATTGTTGTATTAAACACCACCATAAAAGTGGTGTTACTGTCAAAAACATAAAACGTAAAGCAAACACATCAACAAAAGCTGCAAAACATTAAGGGGAACTCAAGGATACCACTGCATCAATGGCTGCCACTGTGTCAACAAGGTAAAGATCCAGTTCATGAGTTGTGCTTGAAGGGCAGATCACATGGTGTAAATCAGGAAGGCCAAGGCACAATTGAAGTTGCAGCTAGCAAGGGATGGGAAGAGTAACAAGAACAGTTTCTACACATATGTTAGCAACAAGAAGGTCAGGGAAAGTGTGGGACCCTTACTGAATGGGGGAGGCAACATTGTGACAGAAAAAGCTGAAGTTCTCAATGCTGTTTTTGCCTCGGTCTTCACAGACAAGGTCAGCTCCCAGACTGCTGCACTGGGTAGGGTGACCAGACAGCAAGTGTGAAAAATCAGGACAAGGGATGGGGGGTAATAGGAGCCTATATAAGAAAAAGACCCAAAAATCGGGACTGTCTCTATAAAATCGGGACATCTGGTCACCCTAGCACTGGGCAACACAGAATGGGGAGGAGGTAAGCAGCCCTCGGTGGTGAAAGAACAGGTTAAGGACTATTTAGAAAAGCTGGACATGCACAAGTCCCTGGGGCCAGATGCAACGCATCAGAGGATGCTGAGGGAGTTGGCTGATGTGATTGCAGAACCCTTGGCCATTATCTTTGAAAATTCGTGGTGATCGGAGGAGATCCCGGACGATTGGAAAAAGGCAAATATAATGCCAATATTTAAAAAAGGGAAGAAAGAGAACCTGGGGAACTACAGAAGGGAACTACTTCAGTCCCCGGCAAAATCATGGAACAGGTCCTCAAGGAATCCATATTGAACCACTTGGAGGTGATCAGGAACAGTCAACCTGGATTCACCAAGGGCAAGTTATGCCTGACCAACCTGATTGCCTTTTATGATGAGATAACTGGCTCTGTAAATATGGGGAAAGCGGTGGATGTGATATATCTTGACTTTAGCAAAGCTTTTGATACAGTCTCCCACAGTATTCTTGCCAGCAAGTTAAAGAAGTATGGATTGGATGAATGGACTGTAAGGTGGATAGAAAGCTGGCTAGATTGTCGGGCTCAACGGGTAGTGATCAACAGCTTGATGTCTAGTTGGCAGCTGGTATCAAGCGGAGTGCCCCAGGGGTCAGTTCTGGGGCTGGTTTTGTTCAACATCTTTATTGATGAATTGCACCCTCAGCAAGTTCACAGATGACACTAAGCTGCGGGGAGAGGTAGATACACTGTAGGGTAGGGATATGGTCCAGAATGACATAGACAAATTGAAAGATTGGGCCAAAAGAAATCAGATGAGGTTCAACAAGGACAAGTGCAGAGTCCTGCACTTAGGAAGGAAGAATCCCATGCAGCACTAAGCAGCAGTTCTGCAGAAAAGGACATGGGGATTACAGTGGACGAGAAGCTGGATAAGAGTCAACAGTGTGCCCTTGTTGCCAAGAAGGTCAACAGCATATTGGGCTGCATTAGTAGGAGCATTGCCAGTAGATTGAGAGAAGTGATTATTCCCCTCTATTCAGCACTGGTGAGGCCACACCTGGAGTATTGTGTCCAGTTTTGGTCCCCCCCCCACTACAGAAGGGATGTGGACAAATTGGAGAGAGTCCAGCGGAGGGCAACACAAATGATTAGGGGGCTGGGGCACATGACTTATAAGGAGAGGCTGAGGGAACTGGAGTTATTTAGTCTGCAGAAGAGAAGAGTGAGGGTGTATTTGATAGCAGCCTTCAACTACCTGAAGGGGGGTTCCAAAGAGGATGGAGCTAGGCTGTTCTCCATGGTGGCAGATGACAGAACAAGAAACAATGGTCTCAAGTTGCAGTGGAGTAGGTCTTGGTTGGATATTAGGAAACACTATTTCACTAGGAGGGTGGTGAAGCACTGGAATGGGCTACCTAGGGAGGTGGTAGAATCTCCATCCTTAGAGGTTTTTAAGGCCCGGCTTAACAAAGCCCTGGCTGGGATGATTTAGTTGGTGTTGGTCCTGCTTTGAGCAGGGGATTGGACTAGATGACCTCCTGATGTCTCTTCCAACCCTAATATTCTATGATTATATGATCAGTGTATCTGCATTGATGTCAATGGACCTATTCCAACTTATGCTAGATGAGGATCTGTCCCAAAGTGTGATTCTACTTTGTAAACTGACTCTCTAAGAATGGCAGTGTAGGTTCCATGTAGCTTGCTTCTCAGTGACTTTCAGATCAAATTGGCTCAATTTTGAAGTAAATTTTTTTTCTAACTTCCAACACTGTAAACTCAAGTTGGAATCTGAAAAGTGGACTATATTCCTTCTGGTTTTTGTTCTAACATCTAATAATAAAGATTCTGCCTTATCCTGGTGCAATCCAGCTTTGCCCATAGTTACACAGACTTGGGGCCAGATTTTCAATGAGATCAGCAGTTATTTAGGCACCAAAATAAGATTTTCTAAAGTGTTCAGCATATGGGGTGCTGACAAGTTCTAAAAATCTGGCCACAAGTGTTACAATGGGAGCAGCTGGGTGCTGCACACTTTTGCAAATCTGACCCTTAGGATGTTTGGTTTCTTAGGTATCTGGTGTGTTTGATTTTGTCTTTGGTGGTATTGAACAGGGGTAACTGAGAGCAAAATTTGACACTCCTTCCCCACAATTGGAACTTGGGTAACAATTCTGCTAGTGATGTTTGAGCCAGAATAGAATCCAGCTCATTTTCTCATATGTAGGTACATTGACTCTATACTGCTAATAGAAGTAAAATGGCAATACAAATTATTTTTGTCACTGAAGCAAGTGAATTAGATTCTGAAAATAGGGAGCTGATTTGTTGAGTGAGCAGATGCTATTTTTACAAAGTAATTTTTCTGCCCATAATCACACTTTATGACGGAAGTACAACTTTCAAATAGCATAAAAAAGCAAAGCATGAACCATGGATTTGTCTGTGATGCTTTTGTTGCAAATGTATGCCTGGGCTAAAAATACTACAAACAATGAGCACCAAGAGGAGCTTTTATTAACTATAATTTGTGTAACAGGCAAACAAATTTGACTGCATCTGCATTTCAGCAAAGCAACACCAAACTAATCCAAAGGGTCACTCCTCTTTGTATGAAGACTTCAAAGCATTTCCTGACAGGCAGAATTAATTTGAGTTTCAGCTGCCCACTGTTTAGATAATCTCTAAATCATTTTAGAATTACAATTAATGATCTCATTCCAGCAGGTTTGTACAGGGA